GGGTATACAAGGGATTAGACATGTTGAAAACTTATCCCTTCGAGTCCTACCATTTTGTGGGGATTCAAAAGTATGTGTAATTCATCTTCTACCTTCAAGCTACACAATTTCTTCATTCCTTCCCTTAGTATACCTTGAGTATGGGTATAGTGATTAGCGAGTTACCCAATCCAATCGTGGGCACCAAACAGACAATGTGTTTTCGTCTTAGGTTTTTTATTCTTGTTTTTTCTTTGGGCGACATCACCTCATGGGAGCTTTCTTTGTCGCAGGGAGAATGCAGCTTTAAGCCTGCCAACCATTACCCAATGTTTAGTTCATCGGCTTTTGTCTTTGTGTAAAAGTTAACGAAAAGGGAAATTTAATATTTAGTAATGATAATTTGTGTTGGAATATGTTCTACTCTTATGTTTTGTTGCTTGTCAAACCTTTTTTAATGTGGTCAGCCCTTTAGCAAGGAGTTTCTACGCTCTAGAAATGGGGTTTCTTTCACTGTCAAGGCCATTGCTTTGATCTGCATGTTGGGCAGCAGAGTCACGTTAACACCTTTAGCTGGGGTAGACCAGTAATTACATTTGTTAACAATAAGACCATTGGCCATCTAAGTCGTTTCTAGTAAATGCAAAGGTGGTGCATCCACTGTATTTGGATTTTTTCTATATTAACATTTATTTGTTTTTCTTCTCTAAAGTTGTAATAGTAGCACTTGGTAAATGTATACTAGTTTACAACCTCAAATATTTGCTCATGATTCAAACTTGTAAGTTGATGTTGGAGTGGGTGGTTGAGTATTATAAGTGACTTTGAGAGCGAAGTGCCTATTGTAGTCAAGTTAATTGAGCATTATATTTCTCAATATGATAACTCCATTGGATCTTTAAAGGAAACAGTACTGGAAAATTACAAATTAAGTTCAAAAGCATTGACAAGTGCTCTACTATCTTTTCATCTTAGATTTTGTTCTGTTTTCTTAGCACATTTCATAGTACTTCTTGTTTCTTCTTTAGGTGACATCACCATATGGGAACAATCTTCATCAAAGGGAGAATGCAACACACGGTCAGTTTGCATTCACAACTCATGAGGCTGGAAACTACTTGGCATGTTTTTGGGTTGATGGTAACAATCCTGGAGGTGGAGGGGTGAGTGTCAACCTTGACTGGAAAACTGGAATAGCAGCTAAGGATTGGGAATCCGTGGCAAGAAAAGAGAAAATTGAGGTAAGCACTGCCATAATTTATAGAGTTTACTTAGATATGTATGTGTATAGAACATTCATCGTTCATTGTTTTTTATTGTTTCTATTATTGGTAACACTTTATAATCCCTGGGAAATAGACATGAACTGAGTATTATATTTAAAGGTTTTTAAAACTTGATGTCTGAAATAATATTAGAAATGAATTTGTAAGTTAAAAGTTGTTGATACATGTGACTGCATATCTGTAATCTGAAGATTCTGAACTGCTTTACATGAGTATTTAAGTTTCAAAAATGCCTGCTGAGCACAATCATGTCTGCAGAATTCAGAACATTTCATTAATATCAAAAGTTTTGTGTTGTGATAATATAGAATATATCAATAATAATATAGGGAGGAACTTGATATGTTGAAATTTGGTAGAAAGGAGTAAAGCTTCATTTTATACTCACGAACTTTCACATGCAACCTGAAGCACATACTTGTATTTTGAGATAATGGATGCAGTAGCTACTAATTGGTTGAAAAAGCCATATCCTCTTTAGAAGCCCAAGACTAAGCTCACTGGCCCCAATTAGAAAAATGGGGGATTTCTGGTCTAAGGAGAATTGCGTGTGTTAGTAAGAATCAGAAAATGAAATATGATAATTAATAAATATTTCAAGTTTAGAGTATTTAGTGGATCAATTGTTATCTATAAGTCTATTTATTTGGGCCTAAGAAAACACAGCCTTTAAAGTTTCAGAGGTTTCCTATGATTTATGAGTCCTTGGGATTAAACGGAATGGAATATGTGAAAGTTGTGTACTGTTCAAGGGTTGGTGCCTTGTTACCTCCTGCACCTCTCCTCTCCCTTGTTAAAATCTTCTCCATCTTCTCTGCATTCTCTGAAAGAATTATATTTCTTCAAAATTTTCTTCCGAAGCCCACCATAACCATACTCAACGGCCACCCTTGCGCTATGCTGTATCTGTAATGGTGTATGTATACTGAGTACCTAGAAGGTTGGTCCCCTGGGTGCAAGGTATACTACCTAGAGACCATTAGCTGGGCTTGTCGCTGCAGTCATACGGTTATTGTTACAAAAGTTTTGATAGATCCTTGTTAAATTTTCTTTTGCATCCTTACCCTTGCCTCGGCTTCTTTAAATTTATCCACCCACATCTGCTTGAAATTTCCGCATTTGTAGTATATTGCTGTCAATAAGTCTATAACCAGCCTAGGTAGGGTGAATAGGTTTTTTTAGCAGAATTCTTACTCTGAAACACATATTAACTAATCTGATTGCCATCAAATCAACCAAACAAATATATATATAAAACTGGGCAATGGGCATCCAACTTAACATGCAATGGAGTTCATTCAAGACTATATGCATGTTAGAAACATGTAGACAAAAGCTTAATTTGCTTGACTCACACGGTCAATCCCTGAGAAGTAATGTGCACAAGCAAGTTCTACACAGACAACCTAAAGGGGTCTTGAGCTTCTCCACAGTTCTTCGAATTCAACTTCACTCTGGCCAAAACATAAATGCCACTATGAGAATAACAACCATAGATAACTCAACATATGTACTTTCCCACATATAAATAACAACCATACGTAACTCCACACTTTCCCACATATAGGGTCTTGAGCTTGAGCTGCGGAAACTCGAAGGAGCAGTTGAGGCCATCCACGAGAATCTACTTTATCTCAAGGGCAGGTATGGTTTGCATAATAATAAGGATGCATTCAACATTTTATGTGCTGCATTTGTGCAGTAATTTATTCCTTGTTTCTGTTTTGGATTTATACGCAGAGAATCGGAGATGAGGGACGTGAGTGAAAGAACAAATGCCCGGGTGGCGTGGTTTAGCATGATGTCGTTGGCTGTCTGCATTATTGTTTCGACCCTTCAGTTATGGCATTTGAAGAATTTTTTCCAAAAGAAGAAGCTTATTTAAGTGATGTTACTCCACTTTTTTTTTGTAGACGAAAAATGATATTGAGAAAGCAAAATTTGAATCTAATGTAAACTACGACTTCACGTACTCTCAGTTTTCGTGTTTTCCTTTCCGAAAGAGAACTGTGAAACGCAAAACAGTAGCAGATTTTAGTTTAACTTGGAAATTGATATCCATTCGTTTAAGTAGTATCTGATTATTTTGCTAATTACAGCAATGTGTCTCAGCCTGAGTTGTAATGTTATAGGCACTCTATAAAAAGGATCGCACCCAAAACAACCAGCCAACACAAAGTCCATGAATACCGCATTAGCAATGAGTTTTGTGTTGTTAGTAGCATAATATTTCTAAGCCTAATCTAAGAATGCCAGCTAAAGTGAAATATTTAGGGCTCGTGTGGAAATGTATTTAAAATGGTTAAAAGTGTTTTTAGAGAAAAATGTGTTTGGGTTTCAAAGGAAGCACTTCAAGTGTATTTTTAGAATTCACTTGCATTACTGAGGATTGGTTCCATAACCAATTTTACCTAAAACGTTTTTAGGCATTTTAAAAGCACTTTCAATTGAGCCTTTAGATTTTTGGGTCTTTGGTTGACAATTTTTCTTCCGTGACATGTACTACTTAGTGGTTTTGAGAAATTAACAATTAGATGTTGCATATAGGTTATTAGTGGATCTTTATGATTGTTTGAGTGTACATCTAGAGATCTAATAAATTTTTGCAACGGTTAAATCTTTCATACAACTTATATCACCGAATGAGGCATCACATTGCAACCGGATCCTTTGGTTGAGAGAGAAATTCTTAGATTGGATGTTAACCAGAGGAGTCATCTACCTAAAGTAGGATTCTCTCCCCTTCAAATTTCTTTCCCTCCCTTCCCCTCTTCTCACTTTCTTCTTTTCTCTCTTTTAAAAAAATCAATACTAGATGTTTACATGACTTAATCTTAACTGTTCAAATGGTAAAAGACTGAAGGGGAGAGAAGAGTTTGCTAGAGCGACTAAGTTTGTAGACAAAATTTTGTAAACTAAGTAATATCGAAGTTGATGATTAGATTTTTTTTTTTTCCCTCCCTTCCCCTCTTCTCACTTTCTTCTTTTTCTCTCTATAAAAAAATCAATAATAGATGTTGATGTGACTTAATCTTGATCGTTCAAATAATAAAAGATTGAAGGAGAGAGAAAATTGGAGAGAAGAGAATAATTTACTAGAGCGACTAAATTTGTAGATAAAATTTTGTAAACTAAGTAATATAGAAATTGATAATTGGATTATTGCTTAAATGTTGATAAACGTATTTAATTATATTGGTAACATATCATTTAATTTGTAATTTTGCTTACAAATTTAGTCTCATAGAATTACCAGAGAGAAATACACTTCGATCCTCTATACTCTGGTCATTTCTTCGCAATTTTCTCCTCTGGTCACTTTGATCTTAGGCCGACCAATAAATATTGAACAAGTGTTCAAAAATTTAGCACGTGTCAAATAGATGGGAAAGGGATCCCTTTCACTTAATCATCTTCATCAAATAATTTGGATCCTTGAAATTTGATCCAACGACTAAAGTTATTATAACTTTTAAAATGAGCTCGTGTTTTTAGTCGTTGAATCAAATTTCAAGGATCTAAAATGTTTATAAAAGAGATTAAAAAATGATGCCTTTCCTAGATGCATGCGACGTAGTCTTTTTTTGTCTTTCGGTGGGCCCAAACGTAGTCCTTTCCGAACAAGAGCGGGAGAGCTAGCAGTACAAGTTGTTCCTCCGTTTTGAAAAACAGGCAAACCCAGAATTTGATACACATTGATTTCTTGGGGATCGAATCAAAGGTGTTACGACGGCGATGCCAACGAGAACAAGTGTGACGGCATTGGCCGCGGCCCTCTTGTTGACCGCTTGCTCGGTGGTGCCTACTAGTGAAGCCATTTGGATGAAATTACCCTCCTCCGACACCAAGTGCGTCTCTGAAGAAATCCAGAACAACGTCGTTTTTTTGGGCGATTACGGCGTTATCTCCCATGATCACAACCGCTACTCCACCATCTCCGTCAAGGTCTGCTCCAACTCCAATTCTCCCCTTTTACTTTTAAAATATTCTTACTGAAAAATTTATACGACTAAGATATTTTTTTTTTATGGTTTATGGTTTATGGTTTATGGTTTAGGGCCTAGGGTTTAGGGTTTAGGGAGAAATTCAAATTTTTATGCAATGTGATGATGAGTTAGCTCGTGTCACATTTGTCGACTCGATGCGCTTTTTTGCAAAAAAAATTGGAAGAAACTGGTGCATCATAGTGTGGATGTATATATATTTTTTCTGCAGTAGTTGTGATTTTTGGTTCGACGGTATCTTTCACTTTCAGCATTGTCTGCTGAAACGTAAACAGATTCCGGTACATCAAGCGGCCAACGCTCACTGCACTGGTATTTTAACGCGAACAACTTTGTGTTTTTGTGTCAAGATAATCGCTTTGTTCCGCAAGTGTCCCTGCAGGGTTCGTTGGACATTGACCTTGCACATTAGATGATTCAGATTGTTATACTGAAGAAATCAAACATGTTACCACGTGATGTTTGGTGAGAAAGACGTAGCCGGAAAATTATTTTGTTGTTGTCAAGTGAATCGAGCTATAGATTTTTCACTTGTTTATAAGTGCTCTAAAATGAAAAGGGGAAATTGGTGAACTAGAAGGGAAGCTTTTGTCGGGACATCGCCATCTTCTTTCTTTAGGTAACATCGCCATATGGGAAGGATCTTCATCACAGGGAGAATGCAACAGATGGTCAGTTTGCCTTCACAAACTCAAGAGTCTGGCACCTACCTGGCTTGTTTTTCAGTTGATGGTAACAAACATGAAGATAGTTCAGTAAGTCTCGACCTTGACCGGAAAATTGGAGTTGCAGCTCAGGATTGGGATTCAGTAGCAAGAAAAGATCGAGAAGATTGAGGTGAGCGCTCGGAGAACACTTTTTCTTATAATAATTTACATACATAGATATCACAGTACATGTTTTATGCACATATTATTTTCATTTATACTTAATTGTTTTCTGTGATTGGTAAGATTTTAGCAACCAGTGATGGACATTACGAGTGAACTCGAACTGTTTTGAAAAGTTTATCAAAACCTAAGGTTTCTGATGGCCAATGAAATGGATTTCTGAATTGGGAAATAGGGACGAGAGTTTCCGTTTGAAACGTGAACGATGTTAGAAATTAAAAAACGATCGAATTTTACGTTGTCTGCAGAATTTCATTTGGAACCTGATGCATACACTTTATTGGGGTAATATTGTATATGAACTCAATACATACTTGGTGTTTAGGAGAGTTGTTACGCTTGTCCATGCCGTCGTTACTTAAATTTCCGCAAACCCTACCTCTTAATGTCTTCTATTTTCCTTGCATCGTTATCTTTAACTGTGCTTATTCCGAGTATCCGCCCACATACAGGGTGTCGAGCTTGAACTACGGAAACTCGAACAACTAGTGATGGCCGTCATCCTGTATCAACGCTTTCTCAAGGCGAGGTAAACATTATCTTCCTAATAAGAATGCATTGAAATTCCAGTCGATTTCTGTGGTGATTTATTCCTTGTTTTATTTTGGATATGCACAGAGAAGTGGAAAGGAGGAATTTGAGCGAACGAACTAACTCGAGGGTGACACGGTATAGCATGATGTCGTTCGGCCTCTGCGTTGGAGTTTCATGTCTGCAGTTATGGCACTTGAAGAGATTTTTCCGAAAGAAGAAGATTATTCAAATTACTCAACTCCGATCATCTTTGCAGACAGAAGAAAGGTAAATAGTAAATGCAAATTTTATTACAAACGTAATGTAAACTATGATCAGATAGACGGCCAGTTTTCGTCGAAAGAAAGTATTGAGAAAGGAAAAGCAATATTATTGATAGTTTGAGTTTCTTGTAGTGTTTAAAATATTCACGAAATTGTCGATATTTTCGTCGAAGTATCCAAAAAACAAAGAATAGATATGGAAAGGGGGTGAAACGCAACTTCACCCTATATTGACTAGATATAAGAAAATAAATGAATATCGACGATATTTACCAATTCACTACAAAAATTGGAAACCAATGCATATTTCAAATTTTGAGAATTTTTTTTTTCAAATTTCTACTAAATTTGAGTTGATATACACACTTCATTGCACTTTTCAAAGTTTCCATTGGATACTGATATATCCATGGATATTTTCAGAACTTTGCATATTGATATTTTCACCTATATTGATATTTTCACCTATATTGATATTTTAAATACTAGTTTCTTGTGTTTACTTGGTAATTGAGAATTTGATAGGCATTATAGGCATTCGCTACATGGTTTTGTTAAAGGTTCATAAGCGTGTCGTGTTGGCCAAGAAATCAAGCATGCTTTGTCAAAGAATAACTACTTAATGAACCTTAATTGCGAAAGAACGGTACTCCGTCCTATATAACGGTATAAACCTAAGATTTCGCTACGAGAAGATTTGGCGGCTGTGTGATTGTTTGCCACAAATCTGTTTCCAGTTTCCAGTTTTGATGTCATTACGAGAGAATGAAAATTCAAATTTAGAACCTCCTTCATCGGAAAATAAAGTATGATTAAATTAAAAACTAGTTCGGACACCTTATGACCTGGGCCAAATGAAATTATTGAAAACTCTCAAACGGAAGTCTTTCATAGGGAAGATTCATAATTTGCCTTCAACTTTAGTCGCAACAAGATAAAATGAAACGATGTGGTATAAAAACGCTCAAGATATTGTGCAAGCCAATCAACTCACTCTTATTCTAGTGATACTACTCTTCTTTTCCAACGGGACAAGAGGCGGATAAACAAGGCATCACCCAGTGGTGGCTACTGAAAGACTACTAGGGAGGGGCTAATTCAAACCCCTCGGGTAAAATAAGAACAGCCCCGACATTCAAAGCTCCTTTTTTACCATTAGCAAAAACTTGTTTCAATTGCAGATCTTAAGGAATTCGAATAACTGCTTCAAATATAGTATCAGGAAGCACTGCTTGTGGAACCTCGATATCCACGAGTTTATTAGCTAAATGGCAATTGGCACATACAATACAGCCAATCGCTTGCACGAAAAAATAGCAAACACATACATATAAAATTTAAGACAGCAAAATCATACGCAAAGTTGATTAATGAGTTTAATCTGAATTTTGAAATTTGAATCCATTTCAATCAATGACGATCACGGTTCAACCAAATTAGCAGTCATGCTGTAATCAATCGGAGAATTAAAGCAATGGTATGAATTAAGAAGGAAAATTGAGTAAGTTCCCAAAGGAAGCTGTTATTCTATTCTAACGATCTTTCGGTTCATGTGTCTAAACCTGCAAATCTCGTCGAAGAAATCATCTGCACTGCTATGACTGCTCTTCATCTGAAGAATCTTTATCACCATTGTCTTCAGATTCTTCCCGTACTTTAACAAGGACTCAAGAGTGCTCATTTTCTGTTCAGCATTCAGCGGTGATCTCACTGTGATCATCACTTCTTCCAGGCAAGGAATTGAAAATCCTGAATCAACCTGAAAAAAAAAAAAAAAAAAAGTATATATAAACTCAATTGTAATTTGAAGATCGACCTAAATTAAAATACTAAAATTACAAAATAGTATCAACTTACATTTTTCAGGCTGTTTTTCTGACAAAGGGCGGCAAACATGGCTCCATGGATATCAAACTTTTGCAGCTTGGGATGGTTATTGAAGAAATCAACAAAGTCAACCTCTGGAAAGGGTTGAAGGATCTCAGAATCCCCTGTGAATTCCACCTTCATGAAAAGGTGTTTCACCTCACTTGCACATTGAAGCATATTTCTTATTGCATCCCAACACCACTGGACTCCCCTAATTGATAAGAACTCTAGAGCGACAAGTTTCTCAAAATCAACCATGTAGACTTTCCCTAAACAACACCAGAAAACACAAAGATAATGAGTGATTGTTATGATTCACACAAGTAGGGAACAAGAAACTAAATGCACCTGATATATACTGCATTTTTCAAGTCATCAAAGGTGAGCTTGTAACAAATCATTACCTGCATTATTGGCAATAGAAAGATTTTTCAAATGCTTTGTATCACGAACCCGAATCCAGCTACAGCCTTGCACCTCAAGGAATTTAATTTTTGGGCACCCCATGGAAAATGAGCAGTTGTCCAAGCCATAAAAGTCCAGCTTACACTGCTCCAAATATGGCAACTCAATTGAAACCGATCTCAATCCTTCACAACCAAGTAACACCAAATTGGTGAGATTCGGACAGGCCTGAAGCACAGTTGACAATGCAGGATCCTCCAGTTTCGCTCCAACAATTTCAAGGTTCTTGAGTTTCTGGAAGACACCCCACTTTGGGGAACGGGCCACTAAAACTCCCCAAAGTTTTAAAGACTCCAAATTTTCTGCAGCACTTAAGTAGTCCAGTTTTGAAGGGCTTTCAAGAGAGGTCTGATATTCAGCAATATTGTCCATTCGAAGCTCCAGATACTTAAGAGAGGGACCTATGATCAATAACCAAGAAGCAAGGCCAGCACCCGAGAAGGGACTATAAACAACAAGATTTTCTAATCGTTCAATCATTGAAACCATCTTCAATACAATGTCATCAGGACTGTCTCCACCCGTATGGCTATCAAAGGAGCTTCTGGGGAAATAAAGGCTCCTTATATAAGGCATTGAGTCCTTCCATCGCTTGGATACACAATTACAAATTGCAACGTCTTTGGCGTTTTCCATGTACGACAATATGTATTGAACAACAGCATCAGGCAGAGGGTCCATTCTGTGAGGACAGAAATCAAACAGTTAGCGGTCACTACGAAAACATAATAAAATCAAGGAAAATAATTCGACAAAAGCTTACAGTTTTACACAATTAGTAAAATTTGAGAAAGAAACTAGATTGGTTAAGTATAGCTAGTTATTATGACGGGCAAGGCGATTCACATGACATCGAAGCTATCTAAGGCTAGCCTTTGAGGTCAGTTATTTGAGCTCAACAATCAAACAATGCTCCCTGTCTTGGGAATTCATTTGAGATAAACATCAACTAAAAAAAAAAGGGTAATCCAACAAGGGTTTATCCGAAAATCGGAAAAAGAATATGACTTGGTAATTGAAACAAGAATCTGAAAAGCAAAAAGATATTATTGAAACTACACATTGTGAGACTTGTAGCTGAAACCAAGGAAGCTTACAACACAATTAGGAAATTAACCATATTTCAAATGATAAATTACATCAATTAGGCAGATTGGATTAAGCTCAGATTAGAACTTCTAAAACCCTGATAAAAGGCTATGATTTAGAAAACTTTGGCGTGAACCCAAAATAGGGTTCCACCTTAAGTGATTAACAAAATCAAAACCCATTCAAAAATTAGCTCACAAAACAACTATCCAATCTGATTAGCAATGTTAGAAGCAGTAGCAGTATATCTGTGAAACAAATAAACCATACAAGAATCGTGATCTTAATTAAACAGATAAGAGGGACGAGGAGGGAGGGAGCTTACAATTGAGAATTGAATGGAAATTTTGCACGATCGAAGATTCCACGCCTGTGGGACAGAAATTCCAAAATTTTAAGACAAAAATGCCCCTTGTCTTTTTCAAAATTTACATCAAAAATCATATAACAAACCCTAAAAACTATCCCTCTTCTTCTCAGTCGTCGTGTTCCTCCCTCTGCATCTTCCCTTATCCTCATCTTCTCCCCTGTAGCCTCTTCACCTCTGCATCTTCCGTGTAGCCAGTAGGAGAGTGAGATTTCAATGGCGAAATCATGGCCTGTGAGAGCGAGCTCCACAAGCTACCTGATCTGTGCGCTGACCGCTCCATTCTGCGAATGGGTCTTCCTCATCTCGCCGCCGCGACCCTCGTTTTCGTCGTCAATCCCAGCGGTCCTCTCTCTTCTTCTCTGCTCTCTTTTTCTTGTTTTTTATATGTTGTTTTTTAGTGATTAATTATGTGGGTTATTAAATGGAAATGGAGCAGGTGCGATGGAGGACGGGAAGAGTGAAGAAGCTGCTTCCGTATCTAAGGTCTCGCCTTGGCGCTGATTGCAATGTGAGTTTCTTACCCAATTTTCCTCTCTTTGGTTTTTTACCCAATTATCCAATTTTGGTTTCACAATTCGTTAGAGGTTGGAGATTGAAACCCACTAATTTATGTTAATTTTGGTTGTACTTGCGTTGCTTGTATTAATCTTTTGGATTAATTAATCTTGCTTGGCAAGACAATTGGAAATCCTATGTTATCTTAGATCATATGTTTTTTTTGGTTGAAATCTTATTTTGGCTGTACCATTGCTTTTGCTTTTATTTTGGCTGTACCATTGCTTTTGCTTAATAAGAATGTTTTTAGTTTAGGTCAATGAAGGGGAGTGGGAAGTGTACTCTCAAGTAACAGCCCTTTGTGTTGGAAACGCAAAATACTGTCTGAAGTGTTTTTATTACTGTCTGAGATCCACAACTTGTGTTTGTAACTAGTTTATTTTCGTCTTTGAAAAGCATCTATATAAATGTCATAGAAGTGTTGGATGCCTAGCTTTAGGAGAGCATCCTTCTCCACATTCTCAAAGGTTCAAAATTGATAGCCTAGAAAGATAGCCTGCTGGTGAACACTTTCCTGTAATCCAGGTATGTATTACTCTGCCAAGTAATCCTAGACTATCTTGCGAAGCATGAAAACAATGTGCAAAGAGGCTAGTATCCAAGAAAGGATGGACTTGAATAGGTGATTACTTAAATACATATCAATCTGCAATTTGGTGTTTCTTGAGTGCAGTTCTTGGTGATATAAACTGTGGTTTTTTATAGTTTTGCAGTTTGGATATAAACTGTGTGAGTGCAGTGGTAAAGAACAATGGTTCATTCTAAATGTCAATGGACTAATCCATCTGATGCATTTTGTTTTCCAGATTCGGAAAACCGTCCCTTTCAGATTTTTGGCCAAATATGGACTCAATGGAGGGATGATCTTGCAAGAGAAATATATGATGAGTGGAGAGGAAGGAGGGCTTGAAAATTGGTTAACATGGTAGTTGTTGTAATTGTCTTTTAGATGTGGACTCAATGTAGTTGTTGTAATTGGCTTGAAAATTCGTAACATCAAGACTATTGAGATGTTGGTTATTGTAATATGGTAATTGGGAGTTATCTAGATATTATGGCTTATTTGATATGTTTATTTGTGTTACTAAATTTTAATAAATTTTAAAATTAGGGTGTAGTCATTGTCATTTGATTTGGCTTATTTGATTTGGTAATTGATTAGTACAACTAATATAAATTTAGTCATTGCCAATTCTAATGTTTCTAGAACCTAACCCTGAACAACAACCCACAATTGAAAGGACCAAAATTAGGGACTAAAAATTGAATTGGGGTGTGGGTTTTGCAATTTGCACAATAAAATTTGATGGGTTTGTGGTGAAAATTCGAATGAAGGTGTAGAAAACGGGAAAAATTACAAATTTTAAAGGGGTTTGCATGTGAAACACAACATATACCTATTAAAATTTGGACCAAGAAAAACAAATAATGGATAATAGTGTTCAAATTTGAACAACTTATTTAAAAAAAAAAAAAAAAAAGAGTTCTGTCCCGTTCCACCCATAAAATTGTACCAAACAAGTGACGGAACATGGGTATTTTAGTCATTTTAATCTTTTGGTTCCGTTCCGTCCATGTGCTACCAAACACAGGACGGAACAACCATCTTGTTCCGTCCTGCGCGTACCAAACATAACACATAACATCTGTTCCGTCCCGTCCCGTCCCGTTCCGTCCTGTCCCGTCCCGTCCCGTCCCGTCCCGTCTGCGTACCAAACGCTACCTTACAGATGGAAATTTGAATTGAAATTTGCAACGGATCTGAGAGCGTTTGCCAATTTCCGCTTGCGCTCTCTCAACGTCTCTGGTGCTTGACAACAAACCATTTATATACATATCACGGAGAGAGGTACAGGCTTTTTGTGGGGAGGCGCGCTTATACTGTCGATGTTTGGGGGTCATTTCAAAATTCAAAAAGTTTCTGTTTAAACGTTTTTGCGGCTTTGCCTTTTGTTTTGTAGTTTTATGTTTAAAATTGAAATTGAAAAATGTGTTTTTCAACCGAACTACTGAAGAGAATTGCCGAGTTGAATAGAGTTGATTTGGTCAATTGAATAGATATGGTCAATTGCTTCATCTTTTTAGATTTAAATCTTCGCACTTAAAATAACGGTCATTTAAATTAAATTTCCGCATTGTCAAAATCAAATTAAATTTCTCTACACTAAAAACCATAACAAGGTTATTATCAAAAGATATTTTACCAAATAAGACCATATCTATTTCCCTTAATGTTGTTGCTTTTGATATTGTTGTTGCTATATATAATATTTAATGTTGTTCCATTTGCAGTTGTGGAGACATAAGTTAACCACTTTGAATAGGAGGACGCCACATGAACTTTTAGCTCAATATGATGAATTAATTATTGACGTCATGAGCAGACCCACCAAACCTTAAAGGGCTAGGCATTTCCCTGCCCTATAGGTCCTACCATCGTGCCTTTCCTGGCTCAATGAGGTATGGGTCGTCTTTTTGGAGTCTTCCTTGGGTGTTCCGTGCACTGGCACCTTTATTTACTAAGGGCCTCCCACCAACAGTTTTGAGTAGTTACATGCGAAGACTTGCTTGCACCACGCTAGCTACACATAACAGTCTGCCTAACATGACTTGCAACCTCCCCACCTAGCTGCATGTGAGGAGTCACTTAAGTAGATCAATAAAATCGCCACTTACTACTCAAAATTCTCTCTGTTATAGTTTTTCTCCTATTATTTTTGATTTAGGCATCGGAAGCCCTTCGGCGGCCACCCACCCTCTTTTCTTGAGTGTTTGTCAATTAGGCTAACAATATTTCTTATTTTGTAAGTGTGATTTTGTCAATCCAACCTTAGGAGATTTGCATCCACAACAATGCTTTGAAGTGAAATGGGTTGTTAATTTTTTTGTGGATGTCTTGTTTTAAATTTCTATTTACATATATAAAGACTTACTTCACATTTACAATTACACACACACACACACATACATATATATATATATATATATGTATGTGTGTGTGTGTGTGTAATTGTAAATGTGAAGTAAGTCTTTATATCCTATTGGTGAAACTAACTATTTGAAATTCTATCTCAGCAAAGAACTGTATGATCTTTCCTCTATTGTATTGAATCAATAAAAAAAGAGGTAAGTGCTATGACCCCCTATTGTTTGATTCAATATTGACGGGGGACGGGGACGAGCCCTGGCCCCAACTTCTATAGGTCCTTGGTTTGACCTCCTTACTTTTAATAAACTGAAGCGGAGAAATTTTCTCGCACTTGCTTGACCCCCTAAACGAAATACCTCACCTCACTTACAAAGAAATAGTTGGAACTGAGCTCCGAACTAAAATAGTTTGCTTTTGCTTCATGTTTCGAAGAGTGGTCTAAACAAATTCGTTAATAAATATTAGAGACAAAAGGTAAGCTTTTTACATATGTATTTTTATCAACTGTAGCAAAGAAATAAACTTCATAAAAATCAAAATATGAAAAAATGGACAGTCAGATTGATTCAAATCAATTAATACGATTTTGACATGAAAATTAAGCGCCTGAGCTCTTCTTAGAGATTGAATTGGGAAACTAAGCTAAAGGCCCTTTGAAGTACGCAAAAAATTCACGGAATAGGCATCAAGGACCACAGCTCCATATTTGTCTAAATTCGAATAAAGTTACGATTCGTTTATAATTCAGAGATCAATGCTTAAACTTACTCTTAATTTCCTTTCAATACTTAATTTCTCTTAACTGCTTGACAACTCTCACTAAATAATACTTCTCCTTATATCTGGTCCTCGCAATTCATTTTTAAATAGAGCCTAACCCATAAGTTTAAAGGATCATTTCATTGAGGTAGGGGTGGACATCGGGTGGGTTGGTCGAGTAAGACTTTAGTCCATTGGCCAACCCAATAGGCTCGGATTGGAATTGTTCAAATCCATTGTCACCCAAGAGAATTGGTAACTCAACCCACCCAAACCATTCTTAGGCGGGTTGGATTGGATGGGTTCCATGAGTTAGGCTTGATTGTTTTTTTTTTTATTTTTTATTCCTAATGTGAGTATGAGAGACAAATGATCAATACTTACATCTACATGGACTTAATCATGTGAATTTGATGTTGTTATATCACTACACGTTACTAATACATAAATTTTTACTATTCAAATAAAGCATTAATAAACAAGTGCATTTAAGAATTATTGTCACTCAACCCGTATATTAAACAATTTTGACCCAAAAATAAAAGTTTAAAGTTTAGAACCCAACCTAACTTATACCAGGTGAGTTGGTCTGGTTGGTCGGTAAACCCACTAAAATGCCCACCCCTACATTGATCCTTTCTCTACTGCACATCGAAGCTCACATTTAAGTTACACATATGAAAATAAAAAAATTGTTAGATCATTTAAGTTACACATAAAAAAAATCATTAAATCATTTAACATAACGAGATTTAATGATTTTTATTTAGATGTATAACTTAAATGTGCACTATAAAAAAGAGAGGTTATTTCATTTCCTTTTGAAAATTTAATGATATTCCCAGCCCAAAGCCCACAAACTCAATGCGGAAAGAATAAAGAAGGGATATTGGGCCAAAAACTAAATATGGAAAGAATGAAAAGCCCCTACACAACTTTCTGTACAGACCAAATGACCACGAGCGAGACATCGAATCCCAGCCGTCCATCTCACCACAAAACCCTATTAAACCACACATCGCTTACAGCCAGCCGTCGATCCTCAAATCCATTTGGCAGGTTCACTATATAAGAGCTACCTTCTGAAACCGAAAAACCCTAGCCGGTTCTCTCCCACTTGGTCGCGTTGCTCTCGGCTGCTGATCTTCCGCAATGGTGAGCTCCCTCACTTGGTCTCTGTTACTTCCATGGAGATTCTCTGTCTGCGTTTGCGAGAGAAAAGCATGATTATTTTCTGTTTGGTTGCTCGGAAAATTGATAGATTACCTTTACTTTTCAATTTATGTTAAATTTCCCAATTAATTGATCTAACACTTGAACTTTTACGATTTCCACGATTACTTTCTAAAACACTTACATTTTTAGTGGGATGGATTTGTGTTTCTGCTGCACGAACTGTTGTTCTTTGTATGTGATTTCTGGGAAGGATTTTGTTAGACAATTTGTTGATTTATTCGTTGTAGGCTTTCGCCAAAGCTCAGAAATCAAGGGCTTACTTCAAGAGATTTCAAGTCAAGTACAGGAGAAGGCGAGGTATTCATTTCGTCTTTCAAGTCGAGGGCTTTTGTTAATTGTTTGTTAATGTTCTGCATATGATGATAATTTTAATGTCGAATGTTTTCGGCAGAGGGAAAGACCGACTACCGTGCCAGGATTAGGCTCATCAACCAAGACAAGAACAAGTACAACACACCCAAGTACCGGTTTGTCGTGAGATTTGTATCCTTTTGTCGCCCACCATTTTGGCCGTTCCCATTCGAGTTTTCGCTTTATGTTCCATCTTTTGTTAAGAATGGTTTTTCGGATGGTATAATGTTTTGGCATTGTATTCTGTGTATGTTGTTAGAATTTGAAATGACTTGTTCACTTGTGCATTCCGTGATGTGCACCTTAACTTAATTGTTAGACCAACAAGGATATTGTTGCTCAGATTATATCTGCCAGTATTGCTGGTGATTTGGTTCTTGCTGCAGCCTATTCCCATGAGCTCCCACGCTATGGGCTTGAAGTTGGTCTCACAAACTATGCAGCAGGTATTATTTCCACCATCTGGTTATTTTGCTTCACTGGTCTGTCTTGATGCGTGAGTTTAACTTGTTGGGTAGTAACTGTATATTTATGATCAGCCTACTGCACTGGCCTACTCTTGGCTCGTCGTGTGTTGAAGAAGCTTGAAATGGATGACGAGTACGAGGGAAATGTTGAGGTAGTGTTTTATTTTTAGTTTATTCAATTTGAATCCCTTCACTTGACATCTAATTTTTTGTGAAAATTTTGTCTGATATTTTAGGCTACTGGTGAAGACTACTCTGTAGAGCCAGCTGAGAGCAGGAGGCCATTCCGTGCTCTTCTTGATGTTGGCCTGATCAGGACCACCACAGGAAACCGTGTATTCGGTGCCTTGAAGGTGGGTACCACATTATGGTGCTATTTATATTTGATGTGTTCAAGTTTTTGTGTTTAACTTTTGATGATGCTTATGTGTAAATTACTTTGTTGTGTACTTTCCTTTCACTTTAAGGTAAACGTTCCTATATGGACGACATTTTTGGACTAACAGTTTTGTTATTTTTCAGTCATTATTATCAATAGCACTCTTTTTTGTTTTATCCTACGAACCTCGATTTAAACATTTCTTTGGATGCCTGTTGATGAATTGTATATTGATCCCTGATGGTACCTTATTTTTCATATTGCTTCAATCCTATGCGTAACATGGTCTTTTCTTGAATGTAATTCAATTTTTAATCTACTTGGGAATGTGCCTACTGAGTAAAGAATTTTTCAATTGATTGCAGGGTGCTTTGGATGGGGGTTTGGATATCCCTCACAGTGAAAAGAGGTTTGCCGGTTTCACCAAGGATAGCAAGCAACTTGACGCTGAGATTCATCGCAAGTACATTTATGGTGGCCATGTTGCTGCATACATGAGGGTAAGTTTGAGACTTGAGTATTCATGTCATGCATTGGCATTAACTCTGGTCTAGAATATTTATGTCTGCTGGTCAAAATCCTAATTATTTGTTTCTGAACTTTTATGGTTGTGAACCAAAGAAAAGAGTTCAGAATTCTTGTCAGGTAGAATAATTAATACTGTTTTCTTAAACTTTTATTTTTTTTATTATTTTAGACTTTGGCGGAGGACGAGCCAGAGAAATACCAGAGTCACTTCAGTGAATATATTAAGAAAGGCATTGAAGCGGATGACATCGAGGAGGTGTACAAGAAAGTTCACGCTGCCATCCGTGCTGATCCTACAATTAAGAAGACTGAAAAGCCGGCTCCTCAAGAGCACAAGAGGTAAAGTCTGATTGATTCTGTACCAAGTTGTTGATGTTTTACATCAAGTCCTGGTTTCATTGTTTGCAAGTAATCAGTGGGAAGTTGCTATCAGATGATTCTAATTTTCATTTACGTAACAGGTACAACTTGAAGAAGCTTACCTTTGATGAGAGGAAGAAGAAGTTGGTTGAGAGGTTGAAGGCCTTCAATGATGCTGGTAACGATGACGACAGCGATGATGATGATGAGTACTAAGCATTTGATGGGATTTGTGCTCTAGTTTGTTTCCCCCAGGTAGGACGTCTGTTAAATTATCCTCTATAAGGTCTGTTATCTGAGTTAGAAGCGCTACTAAAGTTTTGACAGTGTTGTTATGCAAGTTATATTTTGTTTTGGCTATCGCTACGTACCTCGACTATCCACCCTTCGTCCCGTTTTCTACTATCCAACTTTTCTAATTACCAAATCTTTTCTTGTAGTTGTCGTGGTCGGGATAAAGCTGTGTATTTTCAGTTGAAACCATGAATTTTATGCTTATGTGGTTTTTATCCTTTCTTGCTTTCATTTCTTAAATTAGTGAACATGTTCCGTAATATATTTTTTTTTTACAAAAGATAGGACACTAAACGAAGTGGTGAGGGATTTGAACACGGGACTTCAGGTGCAAAGATAGTCTCCTAGATTCCTTGATTCCTTTCCGATTGAATTAGGATTACTTTCCATGCTAGGTTTCTCAAGATCTCTGTATAAACCCTAGATTATTATTTTCAACAAGAATCTTGTACGATCATCAATCACTCTCTATCATAGGGCTCGTTTGGATGTGTTTTTAAAATGACGGAAAGTGTTTTTTGGTGAAAATGTTTTTTATACCAATTTTTAGTAAAAATTCAAGTGGATCTTGGAAAAGCACTTTAAGTGCTTTCTGCAAGCAAATATCTAGTGTTTTTGGAATTCAAAATCAATTTAACCAAAAACGTTTTCAAATATTTTAAAAGCACATCTAAACGAGATCATAATTAGTAACTATTCTATACATGCCGTCGTTTGCGTGTAGACATGATGATGATTCATCTCTTCTCTATGCCTTATGATAGTTACTCGTCAAGGATGTGCTCCGATGGAGTACACATCAGATCATTCTTTCCAGAGCTATACCAGTGATTTGATTTTCTTCTCGGAGATAAGTAAGCAATCCAACACGGATTTAATCACACTCACAATCAACCCCATTCACCCTATAGTTGGTGTTTATGGGTGATTCTAACAAACATTGCCACCATTTGCGGTTGTGAGCTAAAATGGTTCCAAAAATGAGGATGTTAGATGAAATGTTCCCAACGAAAGAAATTCCTATTTCACAAGATATCGGAAAGTTTGGAGAAAAGGATGACTTATACTTCTTGTTGTACATCTAATGACCACAATAAGAAAACTACAAAGAGGATAGAGTGTCAACAAAAGATAGCAGCAGCTGTCTAACGTACCGATCAAGCAGAAATATCGTACTCTTCTTCTTTATTAAAAAATAATTTAATCTCCATGTTTATTACATAAATAGTATTTAGGAAAGGGTACTGTTCTCCATTATTTTTTTTTTTTCACACGTTAATTTTTGTTCATTGATCTTCTATTGTATATTCGATCTGGCAGCCAAAAATTGAGAGAATGCATGTCACATTCCAGCCCGGGCTCGACTCAACCGTAGCATGATATTGTCCGCTTTGGGCTCCTACCACACTTTCACGGTTTTGTTTTTGGGAACTCACATGAGAACTTCCTAATGGGTCACCTATCCTAGGAATGCTCTTGTCCGAACTCGCTTAACTTCGGAATTCCGATGGAACCCGAAGCTAATGAGTTCCCAAAAGGTCTCGTGATAGGTAAGGATGAGAATATACATATAAGACTTACAAGATTCACTCATCTGAATGATGTTGGATCTCACAGTGTGGATAACATCACTCTAAAGTTTTTGGGAGCGTTTATGTTGTCATTGTAGCTTCAGTAGTCTTTAGTTTTATAATAATTTTCAATTTGTTTGACAAAATTCTCAAAACATAAAGTTAAGAAAAATCTTAAGAAGCTTTTTGATTTTTTCCGACACAACAATATTCTAAACTAGACGGGATTTGGATTGAAGAACTGCACAATGAACTGTCAGTGATCATTAGATTTCAAAATTATCATATTAGTCGAATCTTCATTCATGTGAATCAAATCGTCACCGATGCGAGTCGATATACATTATACATTGTAATGCTAATGGCGATAAATCTAACAAGGTAATTGAAAACACAAGTAAAGAGAAAATGGATGTGGAGAAGGCTTGGGTGGTAAGATTGTAGAAACGTAAGAAGCCGTTGTCCAATCACATTAGAGATCACCATCCAATAGCTGTATAGTTTTTTCACACTTTTTATATGCTTATGATGAGCTCCCTTCATCAAACGCATCGTGCATCAATCACTAGTCGACGTGAGTGGGTGAACTTCCTTTCGTCCTCATCACTTAATTGAGTGAAACTCAAACAAGCAAAATAAGTTAACTACTACAGAGTGATGCAGTGGTTAAGGCGAATTTTATGTTTATATTCCACACGACTTATTTCGGGTTTGATCTCTGAGACGGATGAATTACACGATGATAATTAGGAAGATACTGAAACATTTTTATAGGGTTTTCTTATCCTCATAAAAGTGAAGTGACGTGGCTTCGCAACCAGTTGATTCCTTTAAAAAAATAAACAAAAACAAAATTTAATTAAATGGTAATAATGCGTGGCATAAGTTAAAATAATAATAATAATAATAATAGTAATAAATTGGTGTTACTGTTGAAAGCCACTATCAATATGGTCCATGGAACATTTCAAATTCAATTCATGGTGGATGGAGCATTTTTCTCTTCCTTTAACTTTTATAAAATATTATCCATCAATAACTTCTTCATCTCTTTAATCTTTATGCTCTCCCACTTTCTCTTTCACCTTTGCTTCTTCTCAACGTTCGGTAGCCTAATTACTAAAAATAGTATCATTTACGAAAAGCAGCGGTGAATTGCGTTGGTGATCATAACTTTATTCTTTAATAATTAGAGTGTTAAGTTTAAACTCTCTCCCGAATCTAGTGTAACGTCTATCTTTTTAAATACAACGTTATTTTGATTTTAACGGGCTGATAAATTTGAGCTAAATCACATAATAAATCCGTCATAATATTTAGTTCGAACTTGTCATCGACGAAAATAAATCGAACCCAAAACTTTTTTTTTTTAACAAATAATATTATCTACACTAAAAGTGTGCGGAAGTGAGATGATAATAATGTGGTTCAAATTCTTCTTTGGCGAGAATCGAATCTAAAACTTCTCACTTACAAATAAAGAGAAATACTATTACACCGTAATATCAAGTGATATGATTTAAATAATATTAGACCGCTGTATTGGTGGTTAGTGTAAACATTAATATATAATATAATACTGTTTGTAGTAATATAAGAAGCAATAAGAATACTCGTGTGTGCGAGTGAGTGTGACTTCTGAGTGACAGAGTGTGTGGTTTAATTTAAACTTGAGAGAGAGAGAGAGAGAGAGTAAAAAACGAAAAAAGGGAGAAGGAAAGAGGGTTGAAACAGGGCGATACGCACCATGAACACTTGTCCCTCACATCTTCCACCTTCTTCTTCTTCTGGGTCGATTGTGTTCTGCTCTTTAGACTGAAGAAAGAAAGAGAGGGAAAATCCCAGATGCTCTTCGCATGGGGAAGGGTGAAGCAAATCTGCACCAGCAGCAGCAGAGTGACGGGGGTCAGAATGCTTCGGGACTTGTCTGTCCTGGGTGTTCGACGGTTTTCGACCGAATCGCCAAAGGCTTGAGCTTTAGATGCGTCTTCGTTTTAATTCTCAGTTTATCAGTATTTCTCTCTGGGATCTTCTGGATCCTTCCTCGCCATGCTACCAACTCTGGGTTTGATGCTACACAGGCAATTAAGCTTAGTGGTATGTCCTCTATTCCTTCTATCTCTCTCTCTCTCTCTCTCTCTCTCTCTGTCTACTGTAAATATATTTGGTTCACTTTGGTTATTCTGCTTTTCTGAATTATTTGCTTCATAATTTGAATTTTCTGATGTTTTGAGCAATTGGTTATGTGATTTTTCTAATTTTTTTCGGAAATAGGTAGTATTTATCTTTGCTATACAATTGGGAGTCTCTGGATGTTTTGAGCAAATGGGTTTCTGGTAGTTTACCTTGTTGCGTAGATTTTTGGTAGTTTCAGGTCTTCATCGTGTTAATGTGTGATACGGGTGTGGTGGTGGTTCACCAAGTGATTAGGGATTTTTTTTGGGGCTTTTCACATAAATGGGGGTTCTTGATTATTTTAAGGATGAGGCAACTGGTATTTGACTGTACTGTATAATTCAAGTCTTCGGTTTAAGAGTTTCTGATGTCCTGGGGAGACGGTAAATCACCTTAAAGTTAGGATGTGGATGGGAAAGGGATTGGTTCCTTCATGATTTCTGGTAATCATGGAAAGACGAATATCATGTTGATATTTTCTACGGAGTTTTCATTTTGATTTACTTGAATTTAGGAGTGTTTATGATGCTTAGCTTTAACGCATCTAGTTAGACATTAAGACCTAAATACATTTCATATTTCCAGAAACGCTCTCTTTTTAGTGGCAGTTGATTGTACTACTACATGATTGGAATAAGAATTAGTCAGATTTGGAAGTGCCCATAACTCCTGCGTTTTAAGAATACAAAAAACCAAAGTTTTAGCTGTAATGTAACTTGTGTGAAAACATGTTGTGCAACACCGCAACCTAATCAACTTTGTGAACTTTGAGCAGTCTAAGCGTATTCTTGGAGAATATTAAAAAAGGAACCATGTATTTTGAGCATCTTCAATGCAAGGCAAAGTTTAAATTTTTAAACAAAGTTTGTATACTTTGGTGTCATATACTTTTTAAGGGGCAGGCGTCATCTTTATATAAAAATATCATGGTAATTCTTTGAGTGTTCAGACCCTATTTTTGGTTCCTTTTGCTTTGTCTTGTTGCTTTGTTGGCCTTTGGAGTTTTTCTATATGTTTGTTTTAAAGGTAATTTTGACTTGTGTATAAAGCAATACTATAAACTTTATAAGAATGGGGGACTGGTGGCTGGTGTTTCTTGAGCTTTTCATGCTTTTCTATCATGTGTTATGCTTATGTTTTGATCAAATAACTGGCTGATAGAGTTTACTGTTCTATGTTCGGTGCACTGCTTGTTCAGTGTTGCGGATGTTGTATTATTTATCACTTTATTTAATATTATGTATTATATATCTGGGGACACGCTTTTGACATACATTTTGACACTCATTTTGTAGGGCCCACTAAATTTAATCCAATGGTCGTATGATTTCAGATTTGGGTATTTTTGGTAGACATGATTTTTGAGGGAAGTTTTAAAAGATAGACGGTTCGGATCGTTGAAATACGTTACCGAGTGGGTCCCACAAAAAACGTGTGTCAAATTGTGTCAAAAGCATGTGTCCCTGGATCGT